ACACACACACACACACACACACACACACACACACACACACTAATCAGTTTTTTGGGGTGTAACAGAATATCCCAAATATTTTTGATACAGACACAACTGGAAACGCAGTTTTATTAATAGAGTGATTGCCATGTAACACCAGGTCCTGGGTTCTATTTTTCTACAAATAAATATGGTTTTGTGGCAACAGAATCAGGAGTTCATGTGTCCTCAGCCACATAAGACAGGAAGAGGCCAATCCAGGCTAATGAAACCATGTCTCGAACAAAAGTAAAAACAAAAAGCTCAAAATAAAAAAGTTGGAAACTGGAAAAGTTATGATAACAAAATACAATGTAAGAATTTAAATAGTTCATAAACCATCTGGCTTCCCTTTGAAATCTAAACTGAAACTGAAAGTACACTGTCCACAGGATAAAAAGGACACACCACTGCCTTCTGCACACTTACTTATAGAAGAGGCCAGAGACCCAGCCACCAAATATCTGCTCAGGTATCTGACAAATCTGAACTCTGTCCTCTGAAGGGGAGGGCCTCTAAAGTCAAAGGACTTTGATAAAAATCTGAGGGCTGCAGGGGGTGGGTGGGGCGGGTGGTCTATAACTCAAGGGTTAAAGCCAGAAGTTCGATTCTGGGCAAGAAATAGCCCATTAGAGAGATGGGGTCAGGTCTAGATAAAGGGAAGACAGTCAAGAGGCTACCAATCTTTCTAGAAACTTAAAAATATAATGCAGGACTACTCAATTTACCTCCCAGGCCTGCAGGAAGCAACTGGCATCTGTGCACATAGGTGCTTATGTGTATAGATTTTTTTTCATTTCTGTACTTCCTGGGTTTTCAGAACAGAACAGGAATATGCATCATTAATCCCATTTTCCTCCCAGCTCCTCAACATTAGCTTCTATCCTCTTCTTGGCTTTATTTATTAATTTTTAAAGAGTTTTAAAGACTACATTCTTGCTATGTTGCCCGGTCTAACTTAGACCTTGAGGTCCTCCTGTTCTAAATCTCCTGCATGTTGGTGAACGTTGGCTAATTTTTTGTTGTTGCTGCTGATGTAGGATCTGGCAGATATAAAGCAGGATGGAAGGACAGTGGGAGTGAATGAGGAAAGAGGGGATGGCGATGAGGGAAAAGAGAGAGATGGATTTTTTTAAATTGAGATCCAAGGTGTTAGGTACACAGATTTCCAGGGGGACTTTTAATTGGCAGGCACAAATTGCAGGAGTTCATGCTAATGTTGAAGTGACTCAAGTTGCATTTCTTCAGTCTGTGTGGGGTGTGAGGGGCATCAGGGCCAGGGAAGGAGGCTGCACTTAGCTTCCCAGAGAGAAGTATACACCAGTCTTGCAAAAGGCAAATACCTGGATCAACCACATGAGGAACTAGGGAGGGGAGGAGAGAGTTGAAAACTTACTCCAGACTGGCTGGGCCATACTTCCTGAATGAGAAAGTCCCTCTGCCGACTGACCAACCCTACAGCATTGATTTCTGCTGGAACCTCTATCTGGTATTTCTCAAAATTGCTAGCTTCAATATAGAGTTTGATGCTTAAGTTTTAAGACAAGAAAGGGATGTCTCTAGCTGACAAAAAAGAAAGAGCTAGAAAGTGAAGATGTGTGCTCAGTAAATCAGATTTACTGTCTTGCCGTATATAGCTCAGTGGAAAGGTACTTAACAGTCAAGCACAAGTTTCTGGGTTCAATCCTCAGTATTGACCAACTGGAATTCATGCTCCGTGGTCCTTCCCCAAAAGCAAACTGTGGACTGGGGAGATGGCTCATTTGTTAGAGCAAGTAGTTCCTCTTACAGAGGGATCAGAGTTCAGTTCCATCACCCACATCAGGTGGCTCACAAGTGCCTGTAACTCCAGCTCCAGAGAACCTGACACCTCTGGCCTCAGAGGTCACCTGCACTAAAATGCACAATACCCCCTAGCCCAGGACATGCATGCATACATATTACTAAAAAGAAGAGAAATACATCCTTTTAAAAGCAAATTGTGTCAGAATTAACAAAGGACCTCATCAGAAATGCTACATACATGGCTTTAGGACTGGGGTCCAGACATCTCTGTTGGTGACAGGTTCTAGAGAACTTCTAATACAACCTAACTATAGGAAGCATTTTGAAAAAGTAGCAGGATCCTAAATGGCTCAGGTTGTACATAAGGCTATGGGAAATCGTGTGTGTTTCTATGCTGGCCAGAGCTTAATTTTACCTTTGTTTTTATTTTCAGAGTCTCATTACATCCTAACTTTACTTGGGACTTTGGATGCCCCTGCCTCTACCTCCCAAGGGCTGGGATTATAGGTGTGTGCTGACATATTGGTTGTCTAAGAAGAATTAAGAGTTCAGGTGCATATCTTGTGTACCAGAATATGGTTATTTTACAATAATTAATGATGCTTTAAGAGTTGAGGATGTACAGATGTGGAAACCTTCAGTGTAGTGCAGAACTCCTAGGTCTGTTGTTTCTGCAGTGTCCTCTAAAGAATCAGGGCAGGAGAAGCCAAGCATTGGAGGTCAAGCCTTCCCAAGAACAACTAGTTAGCCACATTGATCAGCTCCTCACTGCCTTTCTCAGGGTGTGTGAAGAACATTGTCTTTCCAGCTAAGTCATAATTCTGTGGAAATGAACCCAACAGGCTTAGATTGGTGTGGGGAGAGTGTTCATGAATTCCCAAAGCCATAGGCAGGAATGAAGGGATGGATCTACACCAACTGGGATTGACCTTTCTTGTAATTCCTTGTCTTGCCTTTCACTGTATTTGTTACAGCTCCACCCATCAAAAAGTAGTGCAAACAATACATTCTCATAAGACATAGTTATTAATAAGGGTGATTGTGTTAGTCTGCTTCCTTGATTTTTATTTATTTATTTATTTATTTATTTATTTATTTATTTTGTGTGTACATGCACATGTGTGGGCATATGCAGTTGTGTGGGCACATGCATGTCTGTAGGTACTTGCGTGTGGAAGTCAGAGGACAATCTCTGGTGTCATTCCTCAGGCACTCTCACCATTATTGTAAAGACTGTATCTCTCACAGTCCTGGAAAACCATATAGGCTGTTTTGGCTGCCCAGAGAGACTAAGGGATCTCGGGGACCCATCTCCCTCCACCTCCCAGTGCTAGAAAACGAGTACATGTCATCAACTCCTTCTTTCCCCAAGGGTTCTTGGAATCAAACTTGGATCTATGTTTACAAGGCAAGTACTTTACCCATTGAGCTATCGCCTCAGTTTGTGTTTATTACTATCACAAAATGCTTGGTCCTGGAAAATTCATAAAGCCAAGGTGCTTATTCAATTACAGTCTGATAGCTGGAAAGTCTAAATATCATGGCAATGCTGGCTGGTTAGGCTTTTCCTGGCAGAATCACAATGTGGCAGAGAAGCCATTGCTATGTGCATAGGGAATACATGGCAAGGAGGAAGCCAGAGAGGTTCTGGGTCCAGACTTGCTCAGGTAGGAACTCAGCAGGATCCCAGATGTGAAATGATCTCTTCTGAGGGTAATGTCCCCCAGGACCTGGTCACTTCCAAGGATACTTTACCTATAAAGGTTACATCACCTTCATATGGCCACACCGAGGAGCTGTGTAGGACAAACATATTCAAACCATAGAACATAATGACAGCATTAAAAGTCATTCAAAGGTAACTAGTTGAATGTGAGCCACAAGCTATTCAAATATGGAAAAGAATTTAGAGTCTGTACAAAGTAAATCATCAGAGCCTATGAAAGATCTGCTAAAATATGGTCTGTTTCTCCCTGATAGTCTACACACTACCTAGCTCTGTGTGTTACCAGGATTGATTGATCCTGAGGAGAGAGGATTTCACTTCATCTCTGGTAAGGGACCCAAGCAGAGCTATTCAGAGTCCTGATAATCAGTTCTTGGAGCAGGGTGAGCAGGAGCCTGGACCTTCAGATGTGAAATGGAGACTCAGTCATTACCCCAGAGCTGATCCATCAACAGACAGTTACAGTACTGTGTGCATCAGTCTTTCATTGTCTTATATTTCCTTGCAGCTGTTTTTCAACTTGAGGATGACATCAAAAATTCACATGTTTCTTCTGACTTGGTTGTTAACCCAGAAGGTAATATTCTCACCCCACACTCTGGGCCCTGCTTTCCCTGATCACATCTTCATGATATTAATATTCCCAGGACTGAGAACATAGTTAGAGAATAGTAGAGGGCATGAATCTTGGAGATGTCATGTAAAGACATCAGTAAGGGGGGAGGTAGTGTGGGAATGATTATCAGCAATATACACTGATATATGTACATGAAAATATCATGATAGGCCTGTTTTTTGTATATTTACTAAAAGTTTGATTTAATAAAGAGAAAAAACGTAGTGTCCATAAACACAAATGGATCAGAGATCTCAGCCTTGCCTTTCTACAACACTTATACAATCTTTGTGTCCATGCATGTGCCATATATGAGATTGGAGTATGTGACATCTCATGCTTTAGGCTCCAGAGAGCACCCAGCACATGTTAAAAACATAGCAACTTAGCTAGTAACAAAGAACCCTACTTCTTCCTTTCAGGTGACAGGCCTGGCTGAGTCTTCCAATCTGGATTTGGCTCCTGATGCATTTGACGATCAGTATGAGGGCTGTGTCCAAGAAATGGAGAAAAAAGCACCCCAGTTGTTAGAGGAAGACTTCAATATGAATAAGGACTTAAAAGTTGCATGGGAAATGGCAGAGGACAAATGGCAAGAGATAAAAAAGACAAGGAGCTATCCCAAAGGTTTCAGTGATTATCATGGAACAGCTGTCGTGGTCTACACCGGGAACAACATCTATAAAAATTTTAATAGAGCTCTTAGAGAATTTAAGAAAAATCCCAGTAACTTTCATTATAAGGCCTTCCATTACTACTTAACAAGAGCTCTCCAGCTTCTGAATAACAACAAATGTTACCCCGTATACCGAGGTACCACGAACAAATTTCATTACAACAGGATGGGCTCTGTGCGATTTGGACAGTTTGCTTCCTCATCTTTCGACAAGAAGATAGCTCTTGAAAATTTTGGTGGTGCTAATGGGACATTGTTTACCATCGAAACCTGCTTGGGGGTTAACATAACTGGATTTTCCTACTACCCTTCTGAAAAGGAGGTGTTAATTCCAGGCTATGAAGTATTTAACAAAGTCACTGTAACACCAAGTGGAAAAGCAAATGCCAAGATTTTTCTGAACTCCCCACAAAGAGGGAAAAGCAGCTTCAACTGCTTCTACAGCTCAGGTGAGTGTGGGTCTGTGTCTGCCTTTGAAGGCATAGTTCAAGTATCATTTATAGTAATCCTTCCTTAATACTTCCAGAGAAAATTACTCTACCATGTTCTCTGTCATAGGCCTGGAGTCAGACTCAGTTGTAATTTGGTTCAAGGATCAGGGGCTCTGTTACTGTTGGAAACTATCCAGATATCTGTGCCCCAGTTTCCCCATTTTAATGATACTTACCTAATGACAAATATTCTAGTAGTATTGCTTTGAGAATATAAAGAGAAGCATTCAACACACATGACTTGGCATGCAGATACCATTCACCAAATGCCTTTTCTTTTTAAACATGAATAGGTATGTACATATCTCAGCCATCAGATCCAAAGTCATGCTGGAGTTGGACTTGACAGTCACAAAAAAATCACTTTTGCACACTCTAGAGACCTTGTCTCCTACTCCCCATCACTCAGATATGCAGTGTATCCCTTACTCACATCCAGACTCCACTGTATGTTTTCCCAGGAAGTTAAGTTTGACTGAGAGGGTAGAGAGCTAACCTGAAATGAGTTACAGTTAGACTACTGAGTGCTGAGCAACCATATCTCTAATCAGCCCTGACACTCTGAGAGGTTTATGGAAACATGAGAAGTCTTTGGAGCTGAAGTGGAACTACAGGAAGTGATCACAGGGACTTCATGCGTTTGCATAGAGAAGTTCAGAGTTAGGATGAAGCCCTAGGAAATCATGACCCCTACCCAGGGACACAGTCCAGCCAGAAAGATGCTGTCCATCTGGGAGAAACAGTTGATGTCCAGTCCAGGCAGGCTGAGAGCCACAGGTAGGTTCTAGTTCACACCAGCTGACAAAAGGAATCCACATTGCTGCAACAATGGACTTTCAGAAGGTTCAGACCCAGAGACCTCTTCTTGGGTGAAGAAGGAAAAGCCCATAGGGCTCCCTAAAAAGCCAGGAAGACTCATATAGGAAAAGCTTTTCTGCCCAGAGTCTTAGAGCACAGGACCCTAGAAGTGGTAGATCCATCAGTTTGCTCACCTCCTGTTACTTGAGTTCTTTAGGAATCCTGAGGAAGCCAGAAAAGTCTATCCAGGCACACTGACCCACTCTCCTGGGTGTTGAATGGATGTAAAGTTCTGAAAATTTAGGGGAGACACCTGTGTCTTGAGATATCCCACATGAAACCTTTCCTTCTTCCATCTGCAGGAACCAGAAACAGCCCTGTATTGCTGCTGCTTGTGGTGTTACCTGGTATCCTGGTCCAGTTGCTTCCTCTTGCTGAGCTGTAGCCATCTTTTGCCTGCAGTGGATTGGGCTGACTGCTGAAGTGAGGGCAAATGGTTAGAATTTGGCAGGTTCTCTACGATCTCTGGTAGAGGGAAGGGTGTGATAATTTTTGGGGAGATCTACTTGAATATCCCTGACTTCCACAGACACCTATGGTACTTACTGGCTGTTAGTGAAACTTTATTCTGACTTCAAATTTACTACTCTTTATTACTTTGCTATGGTCAAAGAGCAATGTTTGTCTGCATCATTAGTAGTAACAGCTTTAAAGCATGCAATATGTGATGAATGTTACAGTCTAGTGAAATAAACTGTCTATACTCACACCTTGATTTCTGTGATTTGGTATTTCTGTAGGTTGTATTATTTGTTTGAGAAACTCTCCTAAGGCATGAGGTCTGATGCTCACAGTGATACAGCCTAGAAAGTTCATGTTGTAGATTAGTCACAGATCCTCCTGCAGGACAAATTGAGTGTAACATAAACATAATGGCTCACCTAGATGAAGTTACACCCTACTCTATCCCTTCAGAACACAGTCAGCTACTGAGACCTGTAAGCCAATTTCCATAACTCTGATCATCTCTGAGGACATAGATAAACACAGTAATTTTTAAAATTTTAGTGTTAGTGTATTTATTGATGGGTGCATATTCATGCTTTGAAATGTGTTTAGGGGTCATGAGCAACTCTGTGTCATCAGTTCTCTGCTTCCACCTTTGCACAGTTTCCAGGGATCAAACTCAGGTTGTCAGCTTCCCATATCAAGCATTTTAACTGTTGAACCTCTTCAGCATCCTAGAGGGGCATATGTGGACCAGCAAGTCTGTTCCTGTACATACCCAGAGAGGGTTTAGCCCAAGATTACGAAGCTCCCCTTACACCCCATGTTATAGAATAAGAGACGCTGGGAAAAGATCATAGAGTCATTTCACATTATAATTATACTGAGTTGTATGCATTGTAGGTGCCAGCAGGATAACAAGCTCTGAGCCAAACCTGAGACTGTTGAGCTAAGAGTGGTAGGGATGAGGGAAGGACTTTAAACGGGAAAACATCAAGGAGACTCATTATACTGAGTTGTATGCATTGTAGGTGCCAGCAGGATAACAAGCTCTGAGCCAAACCTGAGACTGTTGAGCTAAGAGTGGTAGGGATGAGGGAAGGACTTTAAAAGGGAAAACATCAAGGAGTATCACCACAAGCAAACCTAGAACTGTTTTCCTCTGCAAAATTAGGTAGTCAAGGAGACCCAAGAATACTCCCTGAGTGTGTGCATAAGCAGGTTGCAGAAGACAAGAAGTCAGCAAGTCATATCATATTCTGGAAATGGTCATGAAACCAAAAAGGCAGCTAGTCACATGATACAACAAAGGAGGTGATCATGGGTGTAAGATTCTTGGCAAGGTTGTTGGGATATCACTGAATTGAGGTTACTAGTATCTTATCTTGCAGGGACTTAAGTCAGAGTCAAATGGTTATTATGTAGCATGATGGATGCCTAACCTAAAATGGAGTTTCTTTAGCCATTACACCATTCCCCACTGTCTGTAGATAATATCAACCATATCTTTGAAAATGCATAATGAAAGTTTTAGAGATAGCTTGGAATCTTCATTGTGCATAGAGACCTCAGAGTTTGGGCATATAAATAGAATAATAAGGACATTAAAACAAAACAGCTTGAAAACAACTTTAACAAAACTCCCTTTAGAATCCACTGAAGAGTGTATAGGCCCATTTCCTTTCCTTTTGGGTGCACTGATTCCCATATAGGGAATATTTTACTCCCTATGAGATTATGTTTGGAAAACCTCCCCTACTGCTTCCCCAACTCAGACTCCATAAGTTGGCAAAATTCTGTGAACCCATTCATTTCTCAAGTCACTACAAGCATTCTGGTAGTTCAAACAGGCTGGGCACTGAACCATCTGAGAAATATACCCTTTTCCTAGTCCTTCATGGCTTTCTGTTTGAGTCTGATGATACTGTCTGGGTGGAAAGGCTTAGCCAAGAGGGCACTGGAACTGACTTGACAAGGACCCTCTGTGGTGATTCTCTTCACTTCAATGATGGTGAAGGTTGCTGGCATTACACATGGATCCAGCACACACATGATATGAAAGTGTAAGCCAGACACTGCTGCCAAATGCACTGTCTCCCACACTCATGGACCTGTTAAAATGAAGGCTTCATCTGGACCCAGGCCCTCCAATCAATTTCTGCCTGAGTTTTATATTTGGTAAGAACACAGGGTCATGTTCCAACCCCCTCTGCTCTCAGACCTGACCTGGTAACTGGGAAAGACAGATAAAGGGAAGGTGATAGTTAATGTGGCTACAGAACAACAACCCATACTTCATCTCTATCTTTGCTCACTAAAGTCCTATATATATCTGCTTATATTGGAAAAAGAATCACACTGGGCATTTATGTTTTGAGATAGGTATATACAGACTACAATTCTTTTTTTCATCTTTTTTATTATTTGAATTATAAACAAGATTGTTTTATATGTCAATCCCAGTTTCCACTCCCTCCCCTCCTACCCTAACACCACCCCAAATAAAACCCTACCTATCACATATCCTTTCTGCTCCCCAGAGGTCGAGGCCTTCCATAGGGTGTCATCAGAGTCTATTATATCCTTTGGGATAGGGCCTAGGCTCACTCCTGTGTCTTGGCTCAGGGAGTATTCCTCTATGTGGAATGGGCTCCCAAAGTCCACACTTATGCTAGGGATAAGTACTGATCTACTACAGGAGTTCCCGTAGATTTCCGAGGTCTCCTCAATGAAACCCATGTTCGTGGGGTCTGGATCAGTCCCATGCTGGTATCCCAGCTATCAGTCTGGAGACCAAGAGCTCCCTGATGTTCAGATCAGCTGTATCTGTGGGTTTCACCAGCCTGGTCTGGACCCCTTTGCTCATCACTCATCCTTCTCTGCAACTGGATTTCCAGTTCAGTTCAGTGATTAGCTGTGGGTGTCTGCTTCTACTTCCACCACCTGCTGGATGAAGCCTAAAGGATGACATATAAGACAGTCACCAATCTCATTATCAGGGGAGGGCATTTAAGGTAGCCTCTCCTCTGTTGCTTAGATTGTTAGCTTGTGTCATCATTGTAGATCTCCAGACCTGTTCCTAGTGTCTGATTTCTATGTAAACCTAAAATGTCTCCCTCTATTATGGTATCTCCTTTCTTGTTTTCTTCTATTCTTCCCCCAACTCAACCTTCCTGCTCCCTCATGTCCTCCCAACTCCCCTCTTCTCTCCTTCTCATTCTCCTAGCTCGCTCCCCCCTCCTCCCTTGCTCCCAATTTTCTCAGGAGATCTTGTCCCTTTCCCCTTCTCCAGGGGACCATGTATGTCTCTCTTAGGGTCCTCCTTGTTTACTAGCTTCTCTGGCAGTGTGGATTGTAGGCTGGTAATCCTTTGCTCTATGTCTAAAAGCCACATATGACTGAGTACATACCATGTTTGTCTTTTTGTGATTCGGTTAACTCACTCAGAATGGTTTCTTCTAGTTCCATCCATTTTCCTGCAAATTTCAAGATTCCATTGTTTTTTCTGCTGAGTAGTACTCCATTGTGTAAATGTATCACATTTTCTCTATCCATTCTTCATTCAGGGCATCTAGGTTGCTTCCAGATACTTGCTATTACAAATAGTGCTGTTATGAACATCGCTGAACAGATGTCCTTGTTGTATGAATGTGCTTCTTTTGGGTATATGCCTAAGAGTGGAATTGCTGTATCTTGTGGTAGACTGATTCCCATTTTCCTGAGGATTTGCCATACTGATCTCCAAAGTGGCTGTACAAGTTGGCACTGCCACCAGCAGTGGAGAAGTGTTCCTCTTTCTCCACATCCTCTCCAGCATGAACTGTCATTGGTGTTTTTGATTTTAGCCATTCTGACAGGAGTAAGATGGTATCTCAGAGTTGTTTTGATTT